TCTTATATGGCACTCCCCCCTCTTACGATGGTCTCCGTATCTTCGGTTGCCGTTGCTACCCTAACACCACCGCCACCACTCCTCATAAGCTCGCTCCTCGTTCCGATACGTGTGTCTTCCTTGGTTACCCGGCCAACACTAAGGGTTATCACTGCTATGACCCCGTGTCTCACCGTGTCATCACCTCACGACATGTGTACTTTGATGAGCTTGTGTTTCCTTTTGCACAGGAATAGGTGGCGCCGTCTTCCCCTCCCGCGGCGGGTTCTCCTCCGCGCCGCCGCTCGCAGTCGGCCTTGGGTGCTCCGGCACCCCCGCCCGCGGCGCCCTCCTCCAGATCGGGGCCATCCGCGGCTCCCTCCTCTGGCTCGACACCCTCGTCGCCTGGCACCGCGTCGACGTCGCCACGGTCCCCCGCCATGCCTGCTGGACCGCATGTTGGGCCGGCGGCTGGGCCGGCCTCTACTGGCGGGGTCTCTCCTGGCGTGGCTTCGACCCTGCCTCGGTCGCCCGCACCGACCCCTTCCCGGTCGCCTGCTGGCGCAATCGCCGCCTCGTCGTCGCCTGGTTCTCCCGATACCGCGGCCTCGACCTCAGCTCGGTCCGCCTCTCCCGTGGATGCCGTGGATGCCACGGCCTCGCCTCCACCCGCGGCTGCTCCGACGGCCGGGCCCGTCACCCGCTCGCGCACCGGTGTTTTCCGCCCGAGCTCCCGCTATGCGGATGACTACGTATGCACTGCCTCGACGTCTGTTTCTTCCCCGCTGCCGTCCTCGGTTCGGGCCGCTCTCCGCAACCCCCTTTGGATGGCCACTATGCAGGAGGAGTTCGACGCTTTGTAGCGGAACCGAACTTGGCAGCTTGTTCCCCGTCCCCGGCATGCTAACGTGATCACCGGGAAGTGGGTCTTCAAACACAAGTTTCGTCCCGACGGCACTCTTGATCTCTACAAGGCGCGTTGGGTTGTTCGTGGTTTCCGGCAACGCGCCGGTGTAGACTTCACCGACACCTTCGCTCCGGTTGTTAAGCCCGGGACTATCCGTACTGTTTTACAGTTGGCGGTCTCTCATGCCTGGCCGGTTCATCAGATGGACGTCTCCAACGCGTTCCTCCATGGTCATCTTGAGGAGCAGGTCTTCTGTCAGCAGCCCACGGGGTTTGTTGACCCGGCGTGTCCTGATCATGTGTGTCTGCTCTCACGCTCCTTATATGGACTCAAGCAGGCTCCTCGTGCCTGGTACCAGCGCATCGCAGCGTTTCTTCACAAACTCGGCTTCCGCTCTACACGCTCCGATGCTTCGCTGTTTGTTTATCACCAAGGCACCGACACGGCGTATTTGCTGCTCTATGTTGACGACATCATCCTGACAGCATGCACTTCTGAGCTCCTTCGCCGGCTTACTGATCGTCTTCGTGCTGAGTTTGCCATCAAGGACTTGGGTCCGTTGCAGTACTTCCTCGGTGTTGAGGTGGTGCGTCGTTCTGATGGTTTCTTTCTTCATCAACGGAAGTACGCTCATGAGCTCCTCGACCGTGCTGAAATGCTTAACTTCAAACCAGCCGACACTCCTGTCGACACGAAAGCCAAGCTCTCTGCTACTGATGGTACTCCCGCTCCGGATGCTGGCTTCTACCGGTCCATTGTTGGTGCTTTCCAGTACCTCACTCTCGCTCGACCGGAGCTTCAGTACGCGGTTTAGCAGGTCTACCTGCATATGCATGCTCCTCGCGACGTTCACGGGACTGCTGTTAAGCCGATTCTCCGCTACATCCGTGGTGCTATGGATCTTGGTCTTACTCTACGCGCCTCCACTGCCACTGATCTGGTCGCCTACTCCGACGCCGACTGGGCTGGTTGCCCGGACACCCGTCGTTCTACTTCGGGTTACTGCATCTTTCTTGGACCATCCCTGGTGTCGTGGTCGTCCAAGCGGCAGCCCACCGTCTCGCGGTCTAGCGCTGAGGCTGAGTACCGCGCTGTGGCTAACGTTGTTGCTGAGTGCTCCTGGCTTCGTCAGTTTCTTCACGAGCTCTCGTGTCCTGTTGAGAAGGCCACGGTCGTCTACTGCGACAACGTCTCCGCTGTCTACCTCTCCGCCAACCCGGTTCATCATCGTCGCACCAAGCACATTGAGCTTGATATCCATTTTGTTCGGGATCAGGTGGCTCTTGGCCATGTTCATGTTCTTCACGTTCCCACCTCCCAACAATTTGCCGACATCATGACCAAAGGCTTGCCAACGACGTCTTTCGAGGAATTCCGGTCCAGTCTCTGCGTCAACAACGGTG